CACCACACTCGAGGCGCATCTTTCCACCGAGGAGGGAAACCAGTCACAGCGTGACGAACTGGGGGCCACGTCACACAGTCGAGGGTCTCGTGTGGTGGAGGGGGCGTGAGCTCTGGCCAGGAGCTTTCGGACCAAAGAGAGAAGACAAGATCAGGCTATCGGCGGGCACCTCCCCCCCTTTCCCGGGTAACCTGGGTTATCGCCAAAAACTTGCTCACGAACAACATATATGATACCGGAGAAAATCCAAATCAAGGTCTTTTTAGGGTTATAGGATTACGGGGTTATTGGGCTATAGGGCGATGGGGCTATAGGGCTATGGAACTATGGGGCTATAGGGCCATAGGGCTAAAGGTTTATAGGGCTATAGGGCTATAGGGCCATAGGCTATAGGGCTGTAGGGCTCTAGGGCTACGAGGCTATGGGGCTTTGTGGCTATGGGGCCATAGGGCTACAGGGACATAGGGCTATGAGTCTATAGGGCTATAGGGTTATAGGGATATAGGGCTATGGGGTTTTAGGGCTAAAGGGCTATACGCAGATATAGTTATAGGACTATGGGACTATAGGGCTATATGAGCTATCGGACTATAAGGCTATAAGGCTATAGTGCTATATCGGGATGTATAGGGATATAGGGCTATTGGGCTATAGGGCTATTGGGCTATAGGCTGATAGGGCTATAGGACTATTGGGCTATAGGGCCATTGGGCCATAGGGCTATAGGGCTATGGGGCTATAGATCTATAGGGCTATAAGACTATAGGACTGTAGGGCTCTAGGGCGATAGGGCTATAGGGTTATGAGGCTATAGGGATACAGGGCTCTAGGGTTATAGGGACATACGGCTATTGGGTTATAGGGCTATCGGGCTGTGGGGCTACAAGGCTATAGGGCTATAGGGCTATGAGGCACCCAGGCACCCGGGCACCCAGGCACCCGGGCGGGCCGCGGAAATCGGCGGCAAAGTTCACTTAACCATATGAATCCGCTAGGACCCCTACAGAGGCAAGCTCTGATTAGGGAATCTCCAGCCAGTTGCGCCCGCCCCTCCTCAGCGCCACCGAGTAGTGGGTACTTCTGGGCAGCGCGGAGGACATGCGGGCGCCCCGTAGTAGGTACACTGGCAGCGAGGAGGAGAACACAAAAAACGCCACCTTCGCGCTCCGGACGGCACAGGAAAAACGCCACTTCCCTGTGCGGGTCCGAGTCTGGGCCCATTGAGTACACACGACTGAGCTTGACTAGTAGGTCGGCCCTTCCAGATGAGAAGGGTGCCCTTGTGTTCCTGCGCTTCGCGTCCTATGTCCCCATGCGTTCTTGGGACAGCGTGGCCCTCGGAGGGGTCTCGTGTCCTCTCGCGCGTCCTCCTCTCCCAGCGAGCTCGACCCTGCCCATCAGAGCGGCGCTGACCCCTCCTCGCCGGCCCCGGGCTTCCGACGCCGTGACACGGAAGCCCGACGGGAGCTCCCGACCTCGGCGCGGGAGATTTCGCAGGCCGGGTCGGTTTGCGAGGGGCCAAGCTCCCAGGACAGGTGGGAGCGTCGGTCGCGATGTTTGTCGCGAGGCCCAGACGAGGCGGTTTGCCGCCAGCCCACCCGATGGGGGTAATGGGGACGACGCGAGGCAGCTTCAGGACACGAAGGGCTCCCTCCCAGAGCCCTCGGGCGCCCTGGAACGGCCGCGGCACCCGATGCGTCCTAGGGGCCCGCCGGCCTTTGGATAAGCTTACTTGTGCGTACAGCATCCGATCTGTCCGTATCATCTTGTATTCGTCCGCTGACGAGGGCGGCGACGACGACGTCCGATGACCGATGACCGACGACCGACGACCGACGACGACGACGATAGACGACGACGACCGACGACAACGACCGACGAACGACGACCGAAGACCGACGACGAGAACGAGGACGAGGATGGACGAGGATAGAAGGGAGGGAGTGGGAGGAGGAAGAGGAGGACGGAGGATTGATGAAGAGGGAGGGGGAGGAGGAAAAGGAGGAGGAGAAGGAGAGGGAGGAGGATACTGGCTGAGTGAACCCTGTGATCAGCTGGGTGAGGCACCAAGGACGAGGCGGAGGAGGATAATCCAGCTGCCTACAGCGAGTCCCGCCACCGTGCCTGGGTTGTGGTCCTGAAGCCTATTGGATGCTCGGTGGGATCTCGTGGGATGCCATTCGGGGGCCTGTTGGAGGCAGTTTTGAGGCCTTTTGGGGGCCGTCTGGGGGCCTCTCTGGGCATCTTGGGGACCTCTTGGGGCCGCTTGGGGGTATCTTGGGGGCCTCTTGGGGCCTCTTGGGGCTTCCTGGGGGCCTCTTGGGGCGAAAGGCTCGGATGTTTGGTGAGTGATCCCTTCCTGGGCACCTCTGGGGGCCCTTTTTTTGCCCTCTTTGGCCATATTGGGCGTCTCTTGGGCCTTCCTGAGAAGGCCGTCTTGGGGTGCCTCTTGGGCAGTATTGGTCTGGTTTAGGCTGCCTCCTGGGCCGCCTTAGAGCGTCGCAAGACAGAAAAGGCGAGAACGCCAGAATCCCGCAAAAAAACGCTGGAGAAAACCAAAAAAATGATTGTTGCTTCCTGGGCCATATTGGGGGGCCTCTTGGAGGCCTCTTGGGCCGTCTTGGAGGCCTCTTGAGCGGCCTGGGCGGGCTTCCTGCCTGGGTCGTCATGGAAGCTTTCGAGGGCCCCAGGCAGGTGCCATGGCCGCCCAAGGACCCCCGTGGAGGAGACAAAGGAGGAGGAGGAGGAGGAGGAGGAGGAGGAAGAGGAGGAGGAGGAGAGTAGGGGCGATGCATGTACTTGGACGCGGGTGTGACGGGCCGGTGGCCCCTTAGAAGACTACAGGAATTCCGCCAGGCAGCACTTGGCATTATTCCACGCCTCAACGTGCTGCAGGCACGGCGGCGGATAAAGAAGGAGGATACATACAAACTACGATCGAGGAGGAGGAGGAGAACGAGGGCAAACCCAGGGTTCATCAACGATGCTGCAACACACTCTCCTGTCCCAATTCCTTCCTCCTGGAGTCCCCACGAACCTTCCCTGTGACTGCAAGAAGCGCCCCCCTTTGAAAAGCGAGCATCCGCTGGGCCTGCCAGCCTGGCGAGGGCCCCGGTTTCAAAAGAGGAGCGGCCTCAGATGTTTCCGACGAGTTGCGGGAATGCGCAACGGCATGATCAACAGTGCAGCGAAGTGTCCAGCGAGACCATTTTCGGAAAGGAGCAGCTCCCCACCCGTATGACTGCTGTACACATTTTTCATTTCTCATGATTCGAAAGTTCTTTGATTTTTTTTGGGGGGCAAGATCCTTTCATGTCTCATTGTTCTATCCTGAGAACAAGTAGAAACGAGCACAGTTCGAAATGAGCTCGATTAGAAATGAACGACGTATGTATACATGTCTACAGCGCTGGCAAACTAAAGTTGAAGGGGCTCCAGGCAAAAGAACCATCTTGCAGGGGAACTGCCAACCGCCCATGCCGCCGTGACGTGCGCTGAAGCTTCGGGCCGTTAAACGTGAGGAAGTCCCAAACGAGAGCCCCAGTCAAGAAAAGGGGCTGTCCACAATGTCCTCCATCCCTGAAACTGCTGCAAACGTTCCAGGCGAAAGGGCGCGACGCTGGGGCGAGAACCCCACGTCGACAAAAAACCTCCCTCCAGCTGATTGGAATTGCTGCCAGCGATTTAAAGGAATGTGCGCGGCGCCCACGCGAGAGCCCCATGTCGAAGACGTGCGGGCCTCCTCCTCCTCCTTGTCCTCCTCCTCCTTGTCCTCCTTGTCCTCCTCCTCCTCCTCCTCCTCCTCCTCCTCCTCCTCCTCCTCCTCCTCCTCCTCCATTCGTGCAACTGCTGCGAACTGTTGAGACGACTGCGCCCAGCGCGAAGGCGAGAGCCCCATGTTGACAAGGAGACGCCAGATTGTGTTCTGGCTGACGCAAGGTGTAGCACGGATGTGCGCGGCGCGCTGGGGCGAGAGCCTCATTTGTGCGTGGGTCCGCCTTGCATCCGTGTTAGTTCGTGGACACTTCAAGCTCCAGGATCATGAATAGTGGGTGGGGGGCGTCTCAGGCGAAACGCCAAGGCCACCCTACACGCAGACACGCCTGGGGGTGCAACAAGGAGGAGTATTCAAGGACAAGGCATGAAGGAGGAGGAGGTGGAGGAGGAGTAGGAGGGAGAGGGAGAGGGAGAGGGGGGAGGGGGCGGGGCGGAGTGAGGAGGGAAGAGGGAGATAGAAGGTGTGAGGGAAGAGGGAGACAGAGGGCTGAGGGGGGAGGAGGAGGAGTGAAGGACTTAGATGATGATGGGGAGGAGGAATGATGGGAAAAGGTGGGACAGGGGGACAGGGATGGGGAGAGGTATGAGAAGTGAGAGGAGGGACGGGGAGGGCAGATGGAGGAGAGGGAGGACTGGGTGGAGGGAGAGAGGATCTTTGCAGAAGGGTCACCAGATTCGCCGAGACACTGCATGTTTCGAGAGGGTTCTTGGCAAAGCTGGTCCCCCTCCAGCAGAACCCACAGTCACCCCCCACACCAGCCAAGCTGGGGGCCCCAGGCTCTTGCTGGACTCGTGCCTGGCCAGCGGAATCTGCGGGGCTATCCAGTGCCTGTGGGCGCTGCTGCTGGCCTCGGCGTTCCACATGTTCAGCAATTTGCCCAAGGAGAAGATGCAGTACAGCCAGGCGACTGGCTGCTTCGGCAGGTGCTGCAGCTGGTTTGGCAAGATTCCCGGCATAGTGTGCAAGAAGGGCCCTTGGTTATTGAAAATATTGCAGCTTGTGCAAGCCCTCATCCTGTTCACATTGTGGATTGTCCTGATGCAGAACAAGTGCAGGGGCGACCTATCTCAGGTTGAGGACTGCGAGACATCATCCGAAGCGTGCTCGTACAACAAAATGAAAAACTGTCAATATTACTGGGGGCACTGTGCTGCCATAGACTATCTCAGCGAAGACGGTTTGACGAAAGACGACGAGCTCCTTAGGTGTTTGTCGGCAGTCCATGACGTTGAGGGTGCGGGACGGCAGTATATAGTGGCCTTCGGTCTATCTTGCCACCGCACCTGGGTCGTGTACCAGAGGCCTCGTGGGGCCTCCTGGGGGCGTCCTGGGCACCTCTTGAGACCTTTTGGGGAGCCTTTTGAAGCGGTCTCGAGTGCACCCTTGGCGAGAAAGGCCATGGGCTCCTCCTCTCCTCCTCATCCTCCTCCTCCTCCTCGTCCTCCTCCTCCTCCTCCTCCTCCTCCTCCTCCTCCTCCTCCCCCCTTCCCCTCCCCCTCCCCCTCCCCCTCCCCCTCCCCCTGGCCTGGCGCATCCTCTGAAGCTATCTCAAAGAAAATCGGGCGCCGCCAAGGGGGGGAGGGGGTCACCAGCTCCTCCTGGAAGTCGAGGCTCCAGAAAGTCGAAGCTCGAAGTGGTTCTTGGACGTTTGGTGTCGGCTTGGGGGGGGGCTCTCGAGCGTTCGTCCTCCCCCCTCCTCCTCCTCATCATCATCATCATCCTGCTCTGGGCCCACCTCCTTGAGAAAATGGCAGTTCCTCAAAGCAGTGGCGACCCCGCTCGTGGTGACCCCGCCCGGCGCTGCCCGGGGAACGACGAAGATTGTCCCATGGTTTTGATTTTGGAAGGCTCACGGGACAAGACCCGGGAGAGCCGAGGGGCCCGGCTTATCAGTGCTCTGGGCCTTTGGGCCGTTGGGACTCCGACATTTCCAGATCTCACAACTGGGGGCACCTCACCGCATGTTCAAGACGCGGTGGCGGATTTCTCTGGGTATATCGACATAAGGTTAGTTCCGAATCTCGCTGGGTGCATACGCTGCGCGATCCTGGCTGCAGACTACGCAAATCCCGATGAAGATGAGTTCAAGCTGCTCTCCGCGGCCGCGGCCGCGGATGTCTGCGAGGAGGCCACGAGCAGTTGCCTCGACGTCAGCGACAGCATGTGGTCCGCCGCGGCGTGCTACACGGAGTGGCCATCAACATCGGCGGCCGTTCACCAGCCCCTTGCGTGTGAGAGCCGCTTTGAAAATCTGGTGCCCCCCCGGGTATGCAGGAGAAGTGGGGGTGGGGCGCCATCTCCTTCTTGGCGAGCTTGAACTCAGGAGCGGGGGGAGGGTAAAATGCTTCTTAGCCAGAGGAGTGCGCCTTCTCCGTGGAGGGCGTCCTCACAGCCACCAAGTTCTCGTCGCTTGCAGCTTGCCCGAGTGCACGGCGGCTCGACAAGCCCCTCAGCGCCGCAGGCGGACTTCCGGGTGCAAACGGCTCGCTCGGATCGCAAGGGGAGTTGCAGTCCATCGCGCAGGTGCGGGCGAAGACGAGGACCTTCTGGGAGCAGACAGCTGCGCGGGAGTTGACCGGAGCGACGCCAGCGCCGCTGCCGCCACCGCCGCCGCCGCCGACTCCGGCGCCGCCTGCTCCGGCGCCGCCGACTCCGGCGCCGCCGCCGCCGCCGACTCCGGCGCCGCCGCCGCCGCCGACGGCGCCGCCAACCCCAGAGCCGCCAGCGAGGCAGCAGGGCTGCACGTGGGCGCCCATGGAAGAGACCGCTTATTTCTTCAGCAGCGACAGGTGCGACCAGACGGGTTCGTACGCATACCGCTTCTGCTTCCTATACCTGTACTTGGCAGGCTTCTTCTACGCCACGCTGTTTGTCTGCGCGCAGGCCATGAGGGTCATCTCGCGGCCCGAGCCTTGGCTGCACAGCCCGGCCGTGCCCAACGAGTGTGTACTGTGGGTGATGCTACGCGCGATGGGCCCTTGATAGCCTGTGCGTCCCATCTCGTATCTTGACTCCTGGTTTCAACAGGAGAGGGGCGTTGTTTTGGGGTGCTGGTCCACACGCTGTGTTCTGTCTGCCTGCCTCGTCGACGAGTCCGAGTTCGCGGCGCTGATTTGGAGGGCGGTCTCGAAGCGCCACACGAAGGTGGTCGCGTGGCACCTGAACAGCAAGATCCGAATCGAGACTATCCTGGTGGCGTTCGCGCATGTGCAATTCAATCGTGACAGCAGTAGGTGCAAGCAGTCATATGAATGGCACGAGATGCAGGTTCCGCTCTCTCCTGGATTGACGGGGAGGTCTTGGTACTGACAACGAGGCGAAGGTAAAGAAGGAAGAGGAGTTCGAGGAGAAAGGACGGCGACGTGGACGACCACGACGACGGCGCGAGATCGAGGACGATGGCGACGACCACGATGACGAGGACGACAGCGAGGAGGAGACACAGACCCCAGACATCGTGATTTTGCCACGCCCTGGACGCCCAGAGGTCTCGACCCCTTCTCCAGGATCGGCCTTTCATCCCGCGTCGTTCTCTGACGGCCTCGGGGCTCGGCAAGCGCCCCTGGAGGCCGCAACAGCCAGATACCTATCAAAAAAAATAAAACTTATAATAAAAAAAAGATACCTATCACCCTGATATTTTCGCTCGGTGTGCGAGGAGGTCCGGGGAGGGAAGGGTCCACCACGATCCGACCCATCCGCTTCGATACTGCTCCCGACCGGCCCGATCCGACTCGATTCCCATATCTTGACGATCCGATGCGGCCCGATGCATACGTGGCGTTGCTGTGCATCCTGGCGCAGCCGATCCGATTCGGGTTCGACTCCGTGCCGATGCGGCCCGATGCGATGCACGTTCCGATTCGATCCGATGTCCTGATTCGATGTGGACTGATTCTGGGGAGGGGCGGGGGGGGACGAGGGCGAGGATGGCGAATACTCAGGATGGGGAGGGGGGCAGGTGGTCGCGGGCCCCTGGCGGCAGTGGAGGTTGTGCGCCAGGTCGGCGGCGCTGGCTCCTGCATCGGATATACACATACATACGATAGCACATGTCAAGCTACATATCGAAAGACACGTGCGTATTTATATATGCATACGCATATGCATATGAGCATGCATCTTCACATAGTTCTGGGCAGCCCAGAAGTAGTTGGTGGAAAAAAGTCTGGCGGCACTGAAATATCTGACGGGCCCGAGCGAAAGTGATTGCGCCTTTCTGCCGTTCGTTGCAAAGTGTGTTTGCAAACGACCTCGTGACATGTAAAGAAGTCAGACAGACGGCAGACAGACGTGTTCGAGAAACTCGGTGGCCCATCGGCGACAGCAGTCGCATCAAGAGTTGGCGCGCTTGGCGCGGAGTGTTCTGTCGGCACAGAGCGCGCGTTGCAGTTGCAACCCGCGCGGACGACGCATTGCAGATGCACTGCAGGCGGCCAGTAGTATTGTTGCACATGTACTGCGCCAGTGAATTGGATTCCACGGTTTTGCGACCACCCCCCCCCCCCTCTGGAGCGCCCTAAGTTCGTGGCATCGCTCGGACTTGCCTAACACAAAAAACAAACAAACAAACACACAAACAAGCAAACAACAACAACAACAACAAAAAGAAGCAACGACCACAACAACAACAACAACAGCAGCAGCAGCAGCAATAACAACAATCAGGTTAAGACTTATCGCTCCTATCTGCTCACGAGCCAATCAACTCGTACATCCCAAACCCTCGGTACCCGCCCTCGTCGTTTTCGATCACACCCCCTTGCGGGTGTATGTTCCGTTCTTGCCATGCGCATGTAGTGCAGCCCCCAGAACACGGGAAGAGAAAACGGGTGGAAGAGGGAGGGAGAAGAATGGAGCACGAGAGAAATTAGCAGGAGAGGGGCAAGGAGCAGAAAACAAGTGGCAGAACCAGACGGGCAGATCGTGTCGGCAGACCCATAGCGGGCAGGTCGGGAAGGCGGGCCCAGACGATCAGGTCGAGCAGGCGGGTTGCTGAAGCGTGGGTCCTGCATGAATCGCAAGAAAATCTCGAGCGACAGCGCGATTCACAAGTAAATCGCTAGGAAAGCCAAAGCGCGAGCGTGATTCCTGAGTGCCGAGGGCGCATCGTCTGAATAAATTGCGAGGAAGTCCCACGCGAGAGCGCGATTCGTATACAGATTGTGTGGAAGTCCCGCGCGAGAGCACGATTTGGGAACACATTGTGAGGAAGTATCAGGCGGGAGCCGCTGTGGTTGTAAACTGGCGGCCAGGGGCGAAGTTTGAGCCGAGTGACTTTCCGTGATGAAAAATAGGGTGCGAGCCCCAGGGGACGCACTTAAATTGAAAAAGACAATGGTCACCGGAGGGGGGATCAACAGTAATTGTTCTTCAGTATTGAGAGCACAACAACAACAACAATCATTTAAGACTGGGGACACTCCGTTCTCACCAGCGCCAGGGTTTTCATAGGAGGCGGGCAATACCCCCACTTTGTGGGGGGGCCGGTTCAAGCTCTACCAAATTTCCATACGACTCTTCGCCACCACCCACACCCAGCTTCCCGCCCTATGACGTTCGGACACTTCACTTCGTGGCATGCGGACGACCGTGGCTACTATTCAGGGCCCCGCGGCCGACGACGACGGCGTGCGCGCGCGAAGAAAAAACGAATGTGTCCAATATGGTATTATTTGACAGGGATGATGGCCCTGGCATGCGCGCAACCGTTGTTGCAGAAGTTCGAAGCACGTGAAAAAGTTGCTCGCAAGAGCCCGTTTGACAGAAATGTTGAAAAAATATTGGGTTTCCTCAGAAATCCGCAAGAGCGCGCAAGATGAATGTTTGAAACTTTTTTTTTGAAAAACCATTGGGTTTTTCATGTTTTTATGTTAAAATCGCTACGAAAACTAAGGTTTTGGAAGGATTTCATCTTGCGCGCGCGAGTGTGCACTTCGTGTCATTTTTTCAAAGGATTCTTGAAGTTTGGTTATGTTAGAACAAGAAATTTCATTTTATAGTGTTTTTTGCAAGGGAAAGCGGGCGTCAACAAAACAACCGGATCCGGACACCCACGTTTTGCCTGAGACTTCCTCACGAAAATGATGAAAATGTGGCTGCGGCCTAGGCGCGGCGAGGGGGGCGCGCACCAGGGGTCCCAACAATAATTATTCTTTAGAATAAATAATGTTCAACAGCAAACAACAAACAACAAACAACAGCAGCAAGCAAGCAAACAAACAAACAAACACAATAACAACAACAATCAACAACAACAATCATTTTAATACTGTTCGTTCTTACTGGCACGCGTGTCTTGCGTTCTGTATACCCCAACCCTCGATACCCGCCCACTTCGTCTTCGATTGTACCCCCTTGGGGGGGAATCTCTTCCTTGTCGGCCATTGACTGAAGTGCGAAGAAGTCTCGAGCGAGAGCGCCGTTCCTGAGTTCGGGGGCCTCTCTGACCAGGGGCTCTCGGAAAACCAATGGAAAATATCGAACGGGAACCCTTGTCGCCATGTCTGGGCCTCCTCCAACTTGCCCGAATTACTGGAAAGTCTCGAGCGAGAGCGCCGTTCCTGAGTTCGGGGGCCTTCTTGGCCAGGGGCTCTCGGAGTACATCGTGAGGAAGTAAAGGAACCCTTGTCGTGGCTGGGCCTCCGCCGACTTAATTGACATGCAAGGAACTCTCGAACGTGAGCGCCGTTCCTGAGTTCGGGGACTCTCTTGCCAGGGGGTCTCGGGGTAAATTGTGAGGACGTATCGAGCGGGAGCCGTTGTTGTCGTAGCTGGGCCTCCACGGGCCCACACTTAGGCTCAAGCAAACGCTCGAGCGGGAGCCTCGCTTCCAGAGAAAATGTAGCCCGCGTCGAGGCAAGAGTGCGCGGAACCGTTTCCGTAGATCAGCAACATGTATTATCTAGTATTGAACCTTCAACATCAACAGCAACGGCAAACATCGATCAACAATCAACAAACAACATACAACAAACAATCAGCAACAAACAACAGCAACAACAACAACAACCACAAAAACCACAACAACCACAACCACAACCACAACCACAACCACAACCACAACCACAACCACAACCACTACCACCACAACAACGATAACCATAGCAAAAACAACAACAAAAACAACAACAACAAAAACAACAACAACAACAACAACAGCTAACAGTAAACAACAAACCACAAACCAATCAACAGCAACAAACAAACAAACAAACAAACACAACACAACATCAATAATATTGAGACTGTTCGTTATTACTGGCACGAGTGTCTTGCATTCCGTATACCCCAACCCTCGATAGTCGCCCACTTCGTCTTCGATTGCACCCCCTTTCGGGGGGAATTTCTTCCTTGTCGGCCACTGACTGAAGTGCGAAGAAGTCTCGAGCGAGAGCGCCGTTCCTGAGTTCGGGGGCCTCTCTGACCAGGGGCTCTCGGAAAACCAATGGGAAATATCGAACGGGAACCCTTGTCGCCATGTCTGGGCCTCCTCCAACTTGCCCGAATTACGAGAAAGTCTCGAGCGAGAGCGCCGTTCCTGAGTTCGGGGGCCTTCTTGGCCAGGGGCTCTCGGAGTACATCGTGAGGAAGTGTTGAACAGGAACCTTTGTCGTGGCTGGGCTTCCGCCGACTTAATTGAATTGCAAGGAAGTCTCGAACGAGAGCGCCGTTCCTGAGTTCGAGGACTCTCTTGCCAGGGTATCTCGGGGTAAATTGTGAGGACGTATCGAGCGGGAGCCGTTGTTGTCGTAGCTGGGCCTCCAAGGGCCCACACTTAGGCTCAAGCTAACGCTCGAGCGGGAGCCTCGTTTCCAGAGAAAATGTAGCTGGCGTCCAGGCGAGAGCGCGCGGAACCGTTTCTGGAGAGCAAGAATAATTCTTCTTTAGAAATGAATGTTGAACAACAGCCCAAACAAACAGTATATATATATATATATATATCTATATATATACATATACATATAGCCGAAGAAATGCACGGGGAATGGACCTCCGAGCGGTGGCAAGATTGCGTCCCCCGAGGGTCAGACGCCCGGGCCCCCAGTGCGCGCAGGCCTCCGACTCCCAGCGCGTCCCCGTCGGCGCTCTCACCTCCGCCCTCTCGGCGGTCCTCGGCGGCTTCCGGCTGCAGCTGCGACCCCAGAGATCCAGCGCATTGGAAGAATCAAGACGGAGGTTTTTCGCCGTTTTCGGCCTCCAGAGGACGTCGCCGGGCCTCGGAACCGTCGAAAAGCGACTCAGGACGAAGAGCCGGTCCTGGGGAATGGATCGAGATTTCCAGGGACCCCCGTATTGAAAAAAACACGACATCGGATCTTTGGGACGGCGACCGCGCGGCCTCGCGGCCCAGTGCCTGGTATCGAGGGTCGGCGCTCTGGCGCAGGACACCGACGAGAGGTATTACGCCGGCTACGTCGACAAGCGCACGCTGTTCGACGCCATGCGCACGTGCGAGGAGGCGTCTTCTGGGGCCTCCAGCATGCTGAGGAGTTCGAAGCGAGCCTCGAGATCTGGGCGTTGCATGCTTTTCACGCTGGGCGTTTTCGCCCGGTCGGGCCTGGGGGCCATCACGAAGCGATCCAGCCCGAAACGTGCCGCAGAAAGCTGGGGGTTGGGGCTCCGATTGTGATTTGTCGCGATGTTGTTGTTTTTGCTCGTGAGGTCGGATCTCAGGAAATGTATGTCGTGGGTGTCGGCATTCGGGGGTCGTTCTCGGGTCCGGGACTGGCAAAAAACGGTTCGGGGTGATAATTTGGGGAAGTGTTTCGTGCCAATCTGAGTTCTGATGTTGTGCATGATCAGCGCATGTGGAGGCACAGCGTTGTACAATACTGTCAACGTCCACGTGCCTCTG